AGGCGACGGCGGTGGGGTCGTGGCCCCTCGGGTGACGGTGCAGTTCTTGAGGTGCGCGAGGGGGTCTGGCTGGAGCAGGATCGCAAATTCTGTACAAGCACAGGCACGCTGTCATGAACGGGGGACGGGGGTGAGAGCTTGCGGGTGAGTTGAAGTGCCCGAGGCGGAGCGGCTCTCTTGGTCGGCAGGAGAGCCTCTTGCACAGTGCTCGTGCTCTTGGGCCGTTGGACGCTGCAGTGGGTGTGGGTGTGGGGCGCAAGCTGTTCTCGCATCGCAACACTTGTGTACGATCCACTAGAGGCTCCAGTCGCTCGGCCGGCAAACTCTACTGGCAAATGAAAAGATGGAAACGGCGGAACTCATACCCTTTCCGTGCGTTCTCGAGCGCCATGTCTGCAACTGCAGGCGGAGCCCAGCACTGGCGCCCGGGAGAACTCGGGAGAACCACCAATATGCAGAGTGGTGAGCAAATGTCTCCGTGGGTGTTCCTGGACAGAGAGACACCAGAGTGGTGTGGTGGGGCCCTTCCCTTCGGGTGCTCTACAACACCGCTAGCACAGCGGGCGTGGTCGACCCGATCTACCCATGGGGCGCTACTGAGCACTACTGAAGTTCGTCGCACCAGCGTAGCAGTGCCATTACTGCGGCTGGTTGTTTGTCGCCTGGACTGATGGCCGTATGCTCTCGTGCATAGATCACCCTTCTTCTGACGGATGCATCTCGACAGGCTGAGGCACACACCGCTGTCATCCATGACCCCCCATTCCCGACATGAACTAGCACCCTGCAGACATCGTCAAAGGTACCAACGGTGAGGCAGCACACGGGTACCGTCGCCCCGGGGAGAAGTTCGTGTCGCCGTGGTCGGAGAGGTGACTCGGCTGACAGCCTGCTTGGGCCAAGAGCAGCCCCTCTGAGTAGCCCTGGCGCGCCGACGAAGGCGGCCGGGTTCCCTCTAAGCATGGAGAGGCCTCGAGCCCAGCCGTGGCGACGAGAGATCGGCACGGCCAGAACCGAACGTAAATACAGGGCAGCTTTTCATACATAGGAGTTTTAAACATATCGGATGTTCAATACACGACTAATGCTGAATAAGTTTATGCATGATCTCATCGTTGTTTTAACTACTAAACCCCTGCATGTTTAATACATGATCCGCACGCGGAGCATGTAAAAGAAAACGGCACTGTACTCACACGTCGTGCGATGGCAAGCATGGACAAGCTGTGGGGGGGGGGGGGGGCGGAAGGGGGGGCGACGGGCGTTCCCGTTTGCCTCTGGCGCCGCGCGCATGGCAAAAAATGATGCGCGGCGGCGTCGTGCTCCTCTCACGCTTTTTCGAGCAACAACAGAAGCAGGAGAGAAAAAAGGAGAGGGCCGAGGAGAAGGCCGAAACGGACACGGGTGGAACACACAGAGACATACTAATACTATATGTCATCCTTGGAGGCGCGCGTCCGACCCGGGCGTATCGTACACCCATCTTGTAGTATATCCGTTCCCGAGCGGCGTGGCCAGAAAGCGCCCGCCACAACGCATATACTATAAGATTTCTCGGTGCGCGCGTCGCCCCTGGGGGGCCACGCACACAAAATATTAGTATGCTGGGGTGACGCCGAACGGGACCGACCCAGAACCCCATGCGGGGTTTCCGCCGCCCCAATGAAGGCGCCGACTAGGAGGGGTGAAACACACTGGACTGGCCACTCGCTTCGCCATCACCTCGCAGGAACCTTTCACTGTATTTTACGCGGCGAACGGCTGCCCTGGTCGTCGGCTTCACCCCGGCAGGCACGCCGGACGGCACTGCGGCGCTTGGCGTGCGCACTCCTCTCCGACGCGTGGTGACCAGCATGCCCCCCTTCTTGGGCATCTGGGCGGCCAGGGCTAGTCGTGGGCGAAAAACGTGTCCGTATCCGGCCTCGCGGATACGGACATGTTCGCCGCTTGGGAGCGAGGAGGGCAGGGCCAGGAGGCAGAAGGAGGACTCTGAGAATTACCTCGCCCCGTTCCCAGACCCCCGACCTCATGATTTGTTCATAGCGTCGACTCTGGAGGTCTCGACCCATTCCCTGCGACTGGTTTTTTATCCTGAATCGTTTTTGTTGACGGTCGCGAGGCCCGGTAAGGGCCCCCAGAGACCCAAAATAGCGAAAAACCTCCCGTCGTGATTTTTGTCAAGACTCGAGGGGGTCTGGGTTTGGGCCACCCGGAGGTCCCTCGTGGCCACGGCGGGGCGCAGCTCGAAAAACCGGCCAGGACGGCCCACGTGCTGCCTGCTTCAGGGCGGGGGAAACACGTACAAGTTTCCCACTATAAATACACAAATTAAAAATGATACCGGTGAAAAAACCTATAAGAGTCTTTTTGAATATTACACGAGTTCCCTTTGCAATTGCTCCTTAGGTTTATGAAGTCTGCGAGGGCTATACAGGCCATGAGGGCTGGGGTTATATGGCTGGAGTGATAGGGCTATCGGGCCATAGGGCTGTAGGGCAATAGGGTTATAGGGCTATAGGGTTATGGGGCTATAGGGATATAGAGCTATAGAGCTATAGGGCTATAGGGCTATAGGGCTATAGGGCTATAGGGCTATGAGCCTATCATGCTATAGGGCTGTAGGGCTATAGGGCTATCAGGCTATAGGATTATAGGGCTGTAGGGCTATAGGGCTATTTGGCTATATGGCTATTTGGCTATAGGACTATAGGGCTATAAAGGCCATATGGGCTATTGGGCCATTGGGCTATAGGACTATAGGGCTTTAGAGCTATACGGCTATAGGACTATAGGGCATAGGGCTATAAGAAGGGCTATAGGGCTCTATAAGGCTATAGGGCTATGGTGCTATTGGGCTATAGGGCCATGTGGCTATAGGGCTGAAGGGCTGGGCCCCCGGGCCCCTGGGCCCCTGGGCACCCGGACTGGCTACCGAAATCATCGACGCAGGTCACCTACGCATAGGAATTCGCTAGGACCCCTACAGAGGCAGACTCTGATTGGGGAATATACACATTCAGTGAAGGCTTCTGGGACACACAAATAAATACACACAAATCCCAGGATCCCCCATCTGCTTCAATCTGTTTTAGCTTTTCGCCTCCCCCCTCCCCTTCCAATGTTTTCCAATATTTTCTGGGGCATCGAAGATTCATTGTGTCTGTGTGTGTTTTCCCCCTCACGATACAGGGCGGGGGGAGCGGCCCTCCAAGCAGGCACCGGGTTCCCGAAGCATGCCGAGAGGGCCACCTGCCCGGGAGGGCGTGAGGGGGCTCCAGCAGCGCTTGGGACCGTCTTGTGGTCCTCGTCGGGCTTCCGGGAGGCACGTCAGACGCTATCTTGAAACATCGTCGGCTATACTGAACCATCTTGGGGCGTCTCTGGGAAGCCCCCCGCGCCTCCTTGGGAGGCCGCCCACGCCTAGCGCCCCCGCACCGGCCACGCGCGAGAGAGGCCCCGGAGTGCGCGGCTTCCGGGGGCCGCGGGGATGGGCAGAACCGCAGCGCTCAGGCCGCCTCCCAGGAGGGCAAACAGAGGGGGAAACTGAAGGGGTCCACAAACACACAAATAAGTACACGCAAATAACAGGAGTCCCCATATTTTCCCATGTTTTCTGGGTTTCTGTCTTCCCCCCCACTTCCCATACTTCCCCATATGTTCTAGGGAATCGACAACTCATTGTGCCTGTGTGCTTTTCTCCCTCCTGAGGGTAGAGGTGTGCATGGGGCACCTTTTCCCGCTCTGAGGGTGGGCCCCGGGCCCGGCGGCGCCCCCTCTTCTGCGCGCGCGGCGACGCGCGCGAAAGCTGCGGCCGCGGGCTAAACGGCCCCTGCCACCACGTAGTGCTTGGCGCCGAAGAGCTCGCCGAAGAGGTGGGCCACGTCCGCGGCGCCCTCGCCCGGCGTGGCCGAGGCGTAGTGCTCCAGGCCCCCCGCCGGGCCCTGGGCGGCCTCCACGACGGCTGCCAGGGCCGCGCGCGCGTGGTCGACGCAGCGCGGGCCCTCGCACACGGCCAGCAGGAACGGCCCGCCGTCTCTGGCGCGCTCGGCGACGCCGGCGGCGCTCGGCCGCGCATCCCGCCAGCTGCCCAGCAGCTGCGGCAGGCTCCCCCGCAGCCCCGGCCACACCGCCGAGGCGGGGCCCAGGCCGGCCCCCAGCGCGCGCAGGCCGACCAGTGCCAGGCCTCGCCCCGTGGCCGCCACGTGCAGCTCGCGGAGCACGTGCGCGACGGCGACCTCCGAGCCGTCCGCGAGCGCCACTGCGACCAGGGAGCACTCGGGCGTGCGCTCGCACTCCTCGACGCCGAGGCGCCTGTCGCCCGGGTGGCCGGGCGGCGCGACGTGCGCGCCCAGCTCGTCGCCGAGGGTGCCGAGCAGGGCCTCGGCGGAGGCGCGCGACGTGGCGCAGCGGATGCCGTTCTGCACGCGCTCGCGCCCCGAGCGCAGGGAGGCGTAGAGGTGGCGCTGGTTGACCGCGGGGTCGCCGTGGCCGCAGAGCTGCGCCAGCCGCTTCACGGCGCACGGCCGCGAGAGCAGGAGCCAGACGCACCTCGGGCAGGTGGTAATGGCTAAGGTAAGGTAAGGAGCCACGCGCCTCGATGGCGCATCGGCAGAGAAGACGCCGTGCCGAGAAACTGGTGAGAGACATCGATCGGCTGCGGTTCTCTGCCGCCAGTGCTGCTTTGACACCGCGGGACGTCAAGCAGAAAAGCGACGTTACATCCGTGGCCCCAAAGGGGCACTGTAGGGCCCCTTCTGGGCCCCTGCTGGCTTCAAGAACTGGGGCCCTCAGAGGCCCCCTGAGGGCCCTTTCTTCACCCCCCATGCGGGTCACCCCCCCATTATACCACCCTCCCGGGCACCGGAACGAGCCCTCTGCGTCCGGGCCCTCGGCACCGCAGCCCGCGGCCGCGCCGAAAGCGTCCAGGTCCCCGGCCTCCAGGTGCCCGTCCTAGGGGGACACATGCGAACCCTACCCCTCCCCCCCACGATTTCTGGGGGGGGGGGGGCGGGGTTCACTTCGTTCGGAAGCTCCCGAGCGAAGCCCCACCCTCCCCCTCAGAAATCATGGAGGGTAGGGAGGGGTAGGGTTCGCATGTGGCCCCCTACGTCCTCCACCTCCTGGTCGAACAGCAGCCTGGCCGTGGGCCGCGAGAGGCCGCCCGACGCCACCGCCGCGACCAGGGCGAAGCCGTGCTGCTCCACCGCCGTCAGGACGCGGAACCTCGGCGGCCGCACACGCAGGCCCGGGCGAGCCCGAGATCCTGGCGTCGAAGGCTGCTTCCCAGCCGGGCGTTTTCGCTTTTTCTGTCGGGCAAAATGTCGGAAAATGCTCTAAACATGTTTTAAACATGCGCTTTACATGTCTAAAACCTGCTCAACACATGTCTTAGACATCTGGGAATAATTTGGCAACACGCTTCCTCTCCAGTGATCGCCCTCCACAATCATGGGCCGACCCGGCTCGAGAAGTGGCGCAGAGAGATAGGGTCCGGGGCTCCGGGCGTGAGTTGTGTTTTGCGATGTTGCAGCTCTTTCGCCACGTCGGATCTGAGGGTTTACCATTAGGTCGGGCATGTCCTCCTACAGGCGAATTGTGGAAGGAAGATCAAACATACCTTTGAAAATGCTCCAACCTAATACATGGTCAAAAAATTGTCCCCATATTATTTTTGACAATTGTTCAATATTCCTCCTGTAGAGGAACAGGCCCAGCTTAGTTTAGCAGAACATCCCTCAAAGGAAACAACCCAAGGCCGGACCTGTCGGGCGCGGGCGCGATGGAAAAAAAACAATTACTCACTGCGTGGAGCTCCCAATATATGCATCTCATGTTGTATCTTCCGTAGTGAGCGTCTGTTCATGAGTGTCTCACGGATGCATCGAACGGTGCATGGAGCACCTCGAATTCGCCTGAGACATCCTGAGCACGAGCACTACCCAAGGGAACAGCAACTTGCTGGTTCCCTCTTGGGAGTGCTGAAACCAGCGCCGCGCCTGAGACATCCTCCAAGTCTGCTGTAATCGCAGACGATGTTGGGCACCGAAACAGGCAAACCGCCTGAGACATCCCCACAAACTGGCCGAGAACGGGCCCGTGATATACCCCCTGGCGGCTCCACTTAGGAGTGCTGAAACCAGCGCCCCGACTGTGTCATCCTCCAAATCTGCTGTAATCGCAGACGATGTTGGGCACCGAAACAGGCAAACCGCCTGAGACATCCCCACAAACTGGTCAAGAACGGGCCCGTGATATACCCGCTGGCGGCTCCACTTAGGAGTGCTGAAACCAGCGCCCCGACTGTGTATCCTCCGAATCTGCTGTAATCGCAGACGATGTTGGGCACCGAAACAGGCAAACCGCCTGAGACATCCCCACAAACTGGTCAAGAACGGGCCCGTGATATACCCGCTGGCGGCTCCACTTAGGAGTGCTGAAACCAGCGCCCCGACTGTGTATCCTCCGAATCTGCTGTAATCGCAGACGATGTTGGGCACCGAAACAGGCAAACCGCCTGAGACATCCCCACAAACTGGTCAAGAACGGGCCCGTGATATACCCGCTGGCGGCTCCCCTTAGGAGTGCTGAAACCAGCGCCGCGCCTAAGACATCCTCCAAATCTGCTGTAATCGCAGACGATGTTGGGCACCGAAACAGGCAACCCGTCTGAGACATCCCCACAAACTGGCCGCGAACGGGCCCGTGATATACCCCCTGGCGGCTCCCCTTAGAGGTGCTGAAGCCAGCGCCCCGCCTGAGACATCCTCAAAATCTTCCGTGTGTTGAGTAACTCAGACTATGAGAAGGTCTGAGTATGTGCAGGTCTGAGTATGAATAAGTCTGTGTATGAGTACGTCTGGGTATGAGTAAGCCTGAGTACGAGGAAGTCTGTGTATGAGTAAGTCTGTGTATGTGTACATCTGGGTATGAGTAAGTCTGAGTATGAGGAAGTCTATGCATGAGTAAGTATGAGTATGAGTAAATCTGTGTATGAGTAAGTCAGTGTATGAGTAAGTCTGGGTATGAGTACGTCTGGGTCTGAGTAAGTCTGAGTATGAGTAAGTCTGTGCATGAGTGAGTCTGTGTTCTGGGTGTGTTCTTGAGATAACAAGAACCCCATCTTAGGATATGGGGAAACAACAAACAAAACAAAAACAAACAAAACGACAAAAAATGGCATGCGCCACGCCCCCTCGAGAGCCGGGGGAGAGGGCCACCGCCAAATCGACTTGGCGGGGTGTGCGGAAGAACCAGAAACGACATGAACACAAACTTGTGGCGCTCAGCGCGGAATTCGAGGACCTGCGCTGGACCCCACTCCCTGGCGCGCGGAGCGCGCCAGGGACGGCGCCGGAGGCGCCGCGGGGGGGGGGGGGGCAGCGTGGATCCAAGAAGTCCGGGCGGAGCGCCAAAAGTTCATGTTTGTAGCATTTGCTGTTCTTCTTCAATGAGCAACGACAGTCTTAGGGATGCGCCCTCAAAAAATAAGGGAATCTCTAAGATTGGCATCGTGATGAGGAGATGCCCAGCATAGGGATAGGGACATGTTCCAGGCTGGCAATTCGTGTATAGAGGATGTGAGCGACGCCCCCCGCGTGAGGCTGCATGATCATGTGGTGAGTCCCTGGCGGGGCCACTCCGGGCAGCTCTGTGCGCCAACACCTCGCGGATCGCCCGGGCACATGCCACGTGCCGGCCGCCGGAAACGAGACCTCGGTCAGGAGTGTTGCTCTGTCACCCTTCAGGATTGCCGGATCGCCCCTTCGCGGCGCTCGCTGCGTCGTGCAGACCACGAGGCGATGGGGCCTGCGATGTAAGCCTCGGAGTCAGCGAGCAGACCCGGACTGCATTGCTTGCCGCAGACCTGACCATTCGCGAGGGGGCGCAGGTCTCATCGACAGAGCAAAGGCATGTTGCAGCTCCAGTGCGACGGAAGCTAACACGCACAGGGCCAGAGTACACCGATCCGCCGCCGTGCCCCCCTGGCACGCTGAGACTCGGCAGAATGCCAGGTACTGCCCGGTAGGCCCTTTCTGTGAGTCCTACATCCCCTCCCGCCCCACTGTGGGGTGCATCGTCCCCGCCCCCCCTCCCGACGGTCCCCGTCCGCCCCGAGGTCTTCTCTGGGGGTTCCGCGGGTCTCCCAAGCTTGCAAGACGGCAGAGACAGGCCACCAAGGCCGCCAAGATGGCCCAACATTGCCTCAAGAGGCGCCCAACAACCCCCGAGAACGTCTCGAGAGGTGCCAATGGGGCCCCGATAGGTCTCCAAGACAACAAGAGAAGGCCAAAGGGCCCTCCAGGAATGCGAAATCATGACTGCATTGGTGCGTTGGATCACATGTAGATGTGTGTATGTATATATCTATATATATATATACACACATACATAGTATAGTAATGTATATATATATATACACATACATATGCCGTAGCACCCCGCAGTCGCGGACAGCAGTCTGCGAGGCTCTGAAGAAGCCCGCCGCAGGCGCCCTATTTTTACAATTCATACAACGAGCCCGCCGCAGGCGTCGACTTATCGTTGAAGCAGTGTGGGTGGGTCGCGGGGTGGGTCGCGGGTGGGTCGCGGGTGGGACGCGGGCCGGGTCGCGGGCCAGGTCGCGGGTGGGTCGCGGGCTGGTCGCGGACTGTTTGCTGTCCACGCTGGCTAACACTATTTGGTGTATGTTATATATAATATGCAGCAGTGAACTTTCAACTTCCGGAGGAGGAGGAAGAGGAGGAGGAGGAGGAGGAGGAGGAGGAGGGGGAGGAGGAGGAGGAGAAGGAGGAGGAGGAGGCGGAGGAGGAGGAGGCGGAGGAGAAGGAGGAGGCGGAGGAGAAGGAGGAGGAGGCATCTTGGGGCTCGTCTGCCGTCCGTCTTCAGCGTTCCTGAGGGCGCTCCGAGACAGCTGCGCGGCCCCAGAGGGCCGTCGGGTGAGAAGAGGTCTGCGCGGGGCACCTGCTGGCGGGGCACCTGCTGGCAGGCTTGCTCAACCTGGCCAATGCAGTGGCAGCGGCGAGCACCGGGGTGGGCGGCATCGGACTGGGCAGGATCACTGGGGGCGGCAACTTTCAGGGGAACAAAAAGTGACATGAACATAAAAACTCGGAGGTCCGCGCGGACTTCTCGGATCCGCGCTGGACCCCCCTCCCTGGCGCGCGGAGCGAGCCAGGGGCGGCGCCGGAGACGCCGCCAGGGGGGTCCAGCGCGGATCCGAGAAATCCGCGCGGACCTCCGAGTCTTCATGTTTATGTCACTTTTTGTTCCCCCAACTTTGCAGAGAGTGCAAGGCAGGGGTATGGGATTGCGCAGCGCTGGCGGTGGCGACCAGCTCTGGGGGGGGGGAGGCGTGTACCACGGGCATGGGGCTAGGCACGGCTGGTGGCGACGACGAACTCTGAAGGGGAGCGAGGCCTGATGCAACGAAGGCTTGGCGAGCGGCCGCGACTAGCTTCGGGGGTGCAAGGCATGGGGCCATGGGTAGACAAGCGCGTTCCACCAGTCGCAAAGTAGCTGCTCGCAAATGGCCTGGATCCGCCGCGAGAGATTTACGATCCGTGACATAGAGGAGAAGACGTGGTTTTCGAACTTTTGCGAATAGGCATGTTGCGAGTAGTGGAACGCGCTCGGTGAATGGGGCTCGGGGCCAAGCGGGGCTGGTGCCGGCGAGGCGCTCGCTGCCGGGCGAGGGGGGGCACGAGGCAAGTGCGCAGTGCTTGAATCGCGGGCGAAGGCTCAAGGGAGTGAAAGTGCAAGCGCCGAACTGAGGGACTGCTACACACGAGGTCTTTGGGCACTGCTTCTTTGGCGATCTCCTGGCCCGGCTCGCCCTGGAACCGGACACATCCAAGATGCATCTGCAAGCCCGTGGCACAGCAAGCACACGGGTGTCTCAAATTGGCGGCGAGCGAGGGTGGAAGTGAGAGGGCGAAGGCCTTCGCAGAAGGCGGAGGGACTTCTCAGAAGCCCTCGCGCCTTCTGAGAAGTCTATTAGTACTATTACGTCTTCGGAGAGGGCTTAGATAACTTATCAGAAGGCCAGGGGGCTTCCGAGCTTTCTGAGAAGGCCCGCCCCGTCTCACTTTCCCCCCCCCTTGCTCGCGGCCGATTGAAGCTTGGCTGGTACGACAGCCATCCTGCTTGGAGCCAATCGGAGGCCACATGCGAACACTATGCCAACACCCCACGATTTCTAAGGGGGGGAGGTGGGGTTCACCTCGTTCGGGACCTCCCGAGCGAAGTGAACCCCACCTTACCCTTAGAAATCGTGGGGTGGTGGGGCAGGGGGTGCACGAGGCCTCCTAGCCAAGCGCATGCCATTCCCCTGAGCCCATGGCAAGGCCGCGTCCACCGTCGGCGGCAGCAACACCGCCGCAGTCAGCTGCGGCACCGCCTGATACAACGCGGGAAGATACAGGAAAGATGCTTGAGATGTGGCCCAAACCATGCGAAACTCTGTTGATCTTCTCTCCACCTTGTTGAATGTTTTCGAAACTCTGTGTAGATGCAAAGCGGAACCCCTGACGAAATCATGTAAAAGCATGCGTGGGGGGTTGCTGCTCATAGCATCGCCTTTAGTCGACATTGATCCCGTGGAAACCGAATCACAGCAAAAGGATGTAGCCCGAGCCTAACGATCGCTCCAGAATTTAAGCATACGTAGATACACATGCGGCTACAGGGCGAAAGAGAAAGAGAGAGAGATGGACACGCAAAAAGAGAAAGAGGGAGGGGGAACAAAAAGGAAAAGAGAGAGAGGACAAACGAGATGGGCACGGCAAGCTCGTGTCATGACGACCCCGGCGTTGGCTTGAGACGTCGTGCGGACCGTGCAACCTTGCACGAGTGGTGGAGTCTCTATCATCAGATCGTTCCAGATCTGACGGTTCTGGGCTGGTGGCGGCGTTCAACCTCGAACGCCTGCAGCCGACGCGTCGGCAGCAGGCGAACCTGCCGCACGTCCTCGGGATGCATACACTCGTAGCACGTGCATGTTCTTGGTTCGGCGGCGTACTTGCGGCGGTAAAGGGACACATACCCTCATGAGAAGTACTCTGATCCGCAGCACCACTCATGAGATGGACCAAGAAACCTCCATAGGACGGCCCCCAGACGTCCCCGGAAGGCCCCAAGACGGCCGAGTGAGGCCCCCTAAGACGGCCTCCAAAGCCAAGATGCCCCGCTTAGAGGCACCCAGAAGCCCGAAAAGATGCCCCAGGAAGCCGTCACGAGATCCTCAGAGGCCCCCAGCAGGCCCCCAGCAGACCCTCAAGAGGCCGCTTCTTCCTCATCCTCACCCTCCCTCCCTCCCTCTCCTCATCATCTCTCCCTTTCTCCCCCAAGTGTTCCCCCAAGGGTTTTCAAATCGGCCGGGGGAACACACAGTCCAGTAGGTTGGCAAGACTTCGGCCCAGCAGTTGGCCACACAGGCGTCTCCCAACAGCAGTGGGGGACGGCGACTTGCCGTGGGCATCTTCGATATGCATATGGCGGATCCCAGAAGCCTGGAACCCAAACATGTTGCCATCTCTTGCGGGCATATTTTGTCCTTCCGCCACCTTCCGCCGCCCTCCTGCCGGCTTCCGCCGGCGGAGGCGGCCTCGAGGAAGAGATGGCAACTCCTTCGATCCTCGAAGGCGATGCCCTTTTTGGAACGCCTCATCTGCGCGTTGACATGTGCAACTATATCTGGGAGTCCTTCGCTGCACAAGAAGATGGAAGTTGCAGCCAATTCGACTTACAACACGTGTGGGCTCCAGCTATTGGCGGCGCGCACAAGGGGGTAAGGGAAGGGGGGAAGGCTTCTTAGAAGGAGGCTGCTTCCTGGAAGGCGCCAGCCCTACATCTGTAGACAAGGCCCGCGCCTTCTAAGAGGCAAGTGTGCTTGCTTCTAAGAAACCTTCCCCCCTCCCCCAACCCAGAGGCCTCCTAGATGGGGTCGGAGTAGATGGAGTCGGAAGATGGCGCCGCATCGCCGATGCATCTCCACGTCGAGCCGTATCGCCGGTGCATCGGTGATGCGGCGCGATCCTCCGACCCCATCTACCTGGATCCCATCCAGGAGGCCTAGACTACCCCCCTCTGCGCGTGGCTGAAGCTGGGCAGCTGACCACCAGGAACCTGGAGCCTCGACATACACTTTCAGCACGTGCTTGAGCCGTACAGTCAAAGGACGCAAGACCCTCTGGAGGCCGAAGCTGGGATCTGTTGGGCGGCGGGCGACCAGTGAAGACAGCGAAGGACGGGCCGCAGAGGCAAGGACACCAGGGCACCCCGGATGAAGGCGCGCGCCCTGACACTGGGCGCGCCTTTTTTGTTCGGAACCCGCCGCCCCGCTGCACCCACACACACACACAACTCCGAGAGCGGCCGGCACCGCGGTCCCCCGGCCAGGCTAGTCCTTGGCCGGTGTCTCCACTGCGCCACCAGCATAGGACCATATCCACTGCCGCGGGGTCGTGTCCCAGGGAGTCGAGGAGCTTTGCATATGGATACCTGCCCGCCGATGCGGGCAAGCAGATGTACACAAGCCTGGGTCTGCCCTCCCCCCCACCCTCCCCCCACCAGATGGCATGGTGTCCAGCCCCCCCCCCCCATGATGGGCGTCCTCCTTCTCTGTGGTGTGCTGTGGTGTGGTGTGGTTGTTTGCGCACGTGCGTGCGTGCGTACATGCGTTTCCCCCCCCCCCCCTGTGGGTGTGGCGTGGTGTGGTGGTGTGGTAGTTTGCGCGCGTGCGTGCATGCGTACGTGCGTGTCCCCCCGTCCCCCCCCCGTAGGTGTGGCGTGGTGTGGTGGTGAGCTGTGGTGTGGTGGTTTACGCACGTGCGTGCGTGCCCCCCCCCCCCGTTGGGTGTGGTACATCGTGTGCTGCGTGGTGGTCGTGTGTGTGTGTGCGTGTGTGCCTGCGTGCGTGCGCGTGCGCGCTTGCGTGCGTGTCTCCGGCGTAGTCGTCCGCAAAAGCAGCGCCATCATCGTCGTCGTCTTCGCTTTGCCGTCGTCTTCGCCGTCGTCGGCGCCGTTGTCGGCGCTGTCGCCGTCGCCGTCGTCGTTGCCGTCGTCGACGCCGCCGCCGCCCCCCATACCATCTGGGGGGAGCGGGGGGGGACGGGGGAACCCTGGGACCCATACCGTCTGGGGCGGGGGACGTGGGCACCCGACCCCCTGGATCGTACACGTCCGCCACTGCTCGCGATCCCAGGGCACGACTCCGAAGCCGTGGCTATGGACCTGCCCTGGACCCGCGAACGGGCTGCGCCGCGCCGCGGCCCCTGCCCACCGCGAGGGAGCAGCGGCGGAGAGGCGGCGGACCCCGAGGCCCTGGCGACGCCACTCCCTCCGAGCCGGGCGCCGTCGCTCCATCTCCTCGGCCTCCTCCTCCTCCTCCTCCTCCTCCTCCTCCTCCTCCGCCTCCTCCGCCTCCTCCGCCTCCTACTCCTCCTCCTCCTCCTCCTCCTCCTCCTCCTCCTCCTCTCCTCCTCATTCTCCTCCGCCTCCTCCTCCTCCTCCTCCTCCTCCTCCTCCTCCTCCTCCTCCTCCTGTCGGCCCCCAGGGCCCTCGCAGAGCGATCCGGCTCGAAGAAAGTGACGCAGAAGGATGGGGTCTGGGGGTCCGGTCGTGATTTGTGGCGGTGTGGCAAGTTTCGTTGCAGAGTCGGATCGCAGGGGATGCTGGTCACGAGCGGCGAACGTGTCCGTAGCCGCGCCCTCGCGGTCTAGATTCCAGGGCGCGGTCTTGTGGATGCGCGGTCGCACGGCCACGTTCCGCGCGGGGCACCTTCGCAAAAACGCTCCATATCCGCGGGGGTCACGGCCCAGGGGGCCAGTCCCGCGAGGCCGCGGACGCGGAGCTGGTTGTCGCCCAAGACCTTGGAAGGGTTAGCGCGTCCCCGCCTGGCGGGAGTGCTGGGATTCGGCGGCGAGCCCGGGGGAAAAGTGAGAAGGAGATGTCCCCTGGCCTTCTGAGAAGTGTTATAGGCCTTCCCCGAGGACACGAACACTTCTCAGGAGGTCCGAGGGCTTCTGAGAAGCCCCGCTGCCTTCTGAGATGGCCTCTTCCCTCTCGCTCCGCCCCTTCGCTCGCCGCCGAGGGGGGGAACGCTTCTGCCCAGCGGGGCACTCCTAGCTTGCCCTGCCAGCTCCGCAGACCCTGCCGGCCCTGCTCGGAGCACCCTCAGCCACCAGTGAGCGCGCGCCGTGTCAGGGGGCCCACCGGGCGCCACTGCCTGCACCGCGGCCCGGGCGCCACGCAGACCAGCCCGGTGCTGCTTTCCCGGAAGAGGTCGCGGCGACTGGCCAGCGCCGACCACAACTCTCCTGGGTCGGCACCTACGGGGACGAAGTCCAGAAGCTCCTCCAAGAAGAGGGGCGTGTCTCTCGGCGCGGACTCGACAATCTCGTCCACAAGCGGGCTCCCTGCCAGCAGCGGCCGGCCCGGAGCCATCGGGATCACGTTGTGAAAGTGTCCTTGGACAGTCGCGCGCGGGGGAGCGCAGGGCCCTCGCGATACGAGGGACAATCGCACAGCCTCAGCCCCGCAAAAGCTCGCCACCAGCAACCGCACAGATAAACACTGAAGAACTGAAAAATCCCTCCGTGGTGATGTTGCTACCTGAGAGCGCTCTCTTCGCACTCCTCCGCCTCGCTCCTCCAATGCACGCTGTAACAACAGGAGCTGATCTGCGGCTGCGAATTCCTCACGCGACACGGCCTTACTCTTTTCTGCCAAGACCTCGGGTAGCGAGACCGGGTTGGGCAGTGGCGCTGCCACGAGCTCTCTGGCACAGCGTGCCAAGTATTGCTCACGACTGCGCAAGGTCATGGCCTCTGAAAGCCAGCTGGAGCCACACCATCTTGAGCCAAAATGAATACTGACACTGCGTTCTGACAAAGCGGAATCGCACATACAATCCCGTACTCCAACTGCGCCGGACAAGACCCTCAGAAGTGTTCCATTCACTAGGCGGCAACTGCTGGGAGGTCTTCGCAGACACACTCCAAGGCAATAAAGCCTGACCAAGTGGCCATTGAGCCGAATTCGTCAGAACTTAGCTCAGGATTAAGCTCTCGTAAGCCGAATTAAGCTGGATGAAGCTGGACTGTGCCAGATTAGGTCGCTTTCGACCACGGATCTACCAGCGCCGATGCTGAATTTGAGATACATCCGACCATTCGCACGATGGTCTGGGAGCGTCGCGTAAGCGGACCCCTGCTCCTGGCGGATCCGCACGACTGAAGAAGCATCGCGAACGCGGTCCTTTGCTCCAACTTGGCCCTTCGAGAGCTCCAGAATTCCTAGGCTCGCCCCGCCACGCTGCCCTTGAAGAGCCACGCCTTTGCGGCCTGGTGCCCTCGCTTGACCCACCAGGACGAGTAAGAAGTGGACGACGACGAACTTCGAATTGCGATGAGGCAAGTGGTTGGCTTCTTGTACTTAAGGACCACATCCAAGGAATGATTTCGAGCACTCAGAAAAGTATCGAAATAGTGTCGAACCAGTATCGCCTCCCAGGGCCCGACACGTGAACACCCTCCAGTTCCGGTACTTTCTCGGTGCTCGATATTCTTTCTGGTGGTCAGGGCAAACGTAAGGCGGAACATCGTAAGTCCATGCCCCGTTTCTGCAGGAAGCCTGGCCCGAAGGGAATGCTAAAGTTTGCATGCAACCCTGTGGAAATACCGCAGTCGTGCCGCAGGCACCGGGTGCAGTGTCCTCGGGTCCCTTCGGGTTCCCTGAGCCTGGCTTTGTGGATACCCTGTGAGCGGCCCAGAGACTCGACCCACGGATCTCGTGGGCGCTTCTGGGAGCTGGAGAAAAGAAACCAGACGGTACCGATAGCGCTACTTACTCCCCAGCCCTCTCCTGGGGTGCGTTCTGACCAGAGCTTCCAGGCGAATCCAGCCGTGGCGACGAGGGCCTCTCAGGAGGCCCCCAAGAGCGAACTCGAGGGAAGGGTACAGCTAACCCGCATAGTAAGGACGCGCAACCTCCCCAAGGGTACCCTTGTATCCTTGCCCCGTCGGCCCATCCTCAGCGGCTTTCGCTGGCCAGCCTCGTTCGGAAAACGTGAACATCAGCCTCCAAGGCACTTGAGTCCTTACCGCGCAGGCCTATGACACGGGTGGACTGTAGCGGTATCGCTACCTTCTCCTCCTCCGAGGAGCTCTCGGGAAACGCCACGGTGCTCTCCCGGGGCCTCGGGAGCGCTAGGGGAACAAAAAGTGACACGAGCATAAAAACTCGGAGGTCCGCGCGGATTTCTCGGATCGGCGCTGGACCCCCCTCCCTGGCCCGCGGAGCGCGCCAGGGGGCGGCGCCGGAGGCGCCGCCAGGGGGGTCCAGCGCGGATCCGAGAAATCCGCGCGGGCCTCCGAGCTTTTATGTTTATGTCCCTTCTTGTTCCCCTCAGCGTGGCTCTGGGCGCCTGCTCCCGGCACGCCCCCAGGATGGCCGAGGGGCCCCTCCGCGGGCCAGCTCGGGGGCCCATTCCCCGGGGACAGCTCCCTCCGCCCGGAGGGCTTCTCGACGCGCGGATGGCCGAGGGGCGTGCCTGCTCTCGGGGCCTCCGCGCCCCGGCCCTTCTGGAGGACGGCCCGGAGGCCTGGCAGGCCTCCTCCCCACGTGCGTTGCTGCTCCTCCTCCTCCTCCTCCTCCTCCTCCTCCTCCTCCTCCTCCTCCTCCTCCTCCAACTGCAACTGCAACTGCAACTCCAACTCCTACTCCTCCTCCTCCTCCTCCTCCCTCCTCCTCCTCCTCCTCCTCCTCCCTCCTCCTCCTCCTCCTCCTCCTCCTCCTCCTCCTCCTCCTCCTCATCCTCCAACTCCAACTTCAACTCCAACTCCTCCTCCCCACGTGCGCCAGAGGGGCCCCTCCACGGGGGAGGAAGCATCGAACTGGAATCGGCAATGCAGTCGGCTGGAATGGAGTCGGGCGAGTCCTCCTACGGGCGGATTTTGGACGAGCAACAGCCCAGACTGTCGATCCAAGAATCAAAAAAAAAAGTTAGAAAAAATCGTCCCCAGAGTATTTTTCTAATCTTGCTTGAATCTTCCCCCTGCCGTAATAAGAGGGACAGGCCCGCCTGAAACCTAGGCCAGGAGAACATCCCTCAAGAACAGGAGAACCTCTCCGTCGGCCAAGACAGACAGAGCATCCAAGGGCACCCTCCCTGGGGTGCACACGAGTACCCTGGGGAGGAGGAGGAGGAGGAGGAGGAGGAGGAGGAGAAGGAGGAGGAGAAGGAGGAGGAGGAGGAGGGAGGAGGGAGGAGGAGGAGGAGGAGGAGGAGGAGGAGGAGGAAGGAGGAGGGGAGGAGGAGGAGAGGAGGGAGGAGGGAGGAGGGAGGAGGAGGAGGGAGGAGGAGGGAGGGAGGAGAGGAGGGGGAGGGGAGGAGGGAGGAGGGAGGAGGAGGAGGAGGGAGGAGGGGGAGGGAGGAGAGGAGGGAGGAGGGAGGAGGGAGGAGGGAGGAGGAGGAGGAGGGCCACACCCTCCCCGAAGCGACCTCGATCTCGCGCCCCGGCCCGACGGCCTCGGCGGGCGGCCCACGGCACAGCGGACGAATGTCCGCCACGGCCTCCCGGGCGGGGTGGGCCCCCCCGCGCCCCTCTCGGCGAGGACGGGGCGCGCCGTGGAGGCCGCTGCAGCCCTTTGCCGGAGTCCTTCCTCCCCGGAAGAGGCAGGCGCAATGCCCTAAGTGATTGACTACCTACCAGACCACCCCAACCCAACCCGAAGATCCGAATTTGACCCGAATTTCGGGTTGGGGGGGGTACGGGTTCCATGTGTTTTTTCGACGTTCCCCGACCCCCCCCCCACTGGAAATGGAGGGCAAATTGAGGCCTTCGGGTTGGGTTGGGGTGGTCTGGTAGGTGGTGACTAAGGTGAGCTCAATGAGAACAGAAATCTCATGTGGACCAAAAGGAGAAAAGCTTGCTTGATTTCGATTTTCAGTACGAATGCAAGCTGTGAAAACATGGCCTGTCGATCCTTCAGGTCTGAGAAATGTGCAGCTAAAGGTGTCAGAAAAGTTACCACATGGAGGAGAAAAAAATGCACAAACGCAACCTTTCGACGCCCGACGCCGCGTTCTGGGATCGGGGCTGGGCCCCCTGCCCTGGCGCAGAAGCGCGTAGCCTTTCGGAGCTCGACGCCGTGTTCCTGGATCTGGGCTGGGCCCCCTCCCCGGCGCGCGGAGCGCTTAACGGGGGCGGGGCGGCGCTTGAGGCGCCGCCAGGGGGCCCCAGCGCCGATGCGAGGAATCCGCGCGGACCTCCGAGCTTGCATGTTCGTGTGCACGCCGGTCGGAAGAAGTAGGTAACACACACACACATGAAGTACAGTCGGGGCGTTGACCTAAGGAACCCTGAATAAGGAACGAGTCCCCTTTTGCTTCCTAAGTTATAAGTTTAACTTCGACTTCCCATCGAAAACATAAGGAAAACCGAAGGCAAACTGCGAAACCGACTGTACGAGGGCGGATAAAGTAAATTGGGTTCAGGCCCTGCCCGAGAACAACAAGACCAAGCAAACGCATATCGATTATTGAAGTAGGAAGGCGCTTGAAGTAGCCTTGGATCTGAGGATCCCCAAAAACATGCTTCCAACGACCGACGTGTAAGTGCTTGTTCCCCAGCATCCCCCCGAAAATCGCCCCTGATGGGACCCCTCCCCACTTGCAGGGCGGAGAGGCCCTCTCAGAAGGACCGGAAATCCCCCCAGCCTTCCGAGAAGTTTCCTAAGCCTCACGCGAAGACACCGAACACTTCTCGGAAGGCGCAGGGGCTTCTGAGAAGTCCCGCCGCCTTCGGAAGAAGGCCTCCTCCTTCTCGCTTCCCCCCCCTCGCTCGCCGCCGAGTACTTGCTTGTTCCCCGACGTCCTCCCAGAAGGTTGCCCCTGACGGGACCCCTCCCCACGTACAGGGCCCCGATCAAATCCTAAGGAATAATCCGTAGGACATCTCTTCAGGTGTGGGCCAGGGAGGGGATGGAGGGAGAGGGCCGACCACGGCTGTTGTCGGCCAGACCTTGCAAGAGAAACAGGGCTCTACGTGTGTTTATGCAGTTGCTTGTTCCCCGACTTCCTCCCCGAAAGGCTGGCCCTGTATTTGAGCAGGGACCGACCGTCCTTGCATTCCTACAGACCTACCACGACATGTTCTTCGAAAACAGAAATACTCGAAAAGCAAAAACACGGCTCTTAGAGCAGAAGCCCGATGTGTTAAAACAAGACCGTCTCGGCCAGAAATGCTCTAAGGACCTTTCGCGCAGACCACAGTAAGTTCTTAGACACATTCTCTGGTGGGCCTCTTGGCAAGCCAGGACGCTTCGCCACTGCTGGATGCATGGGACCCCCCCCCCACGTGCAGGGCTCGGGGATCTTCTGACCTGGGTCAATCCAGATCCGGGTCAGTCAATCCTTGCAGAATCCAGCAAGACCCTGCAAGATCCCGCACCCAAACCCGGGTCCATGCGAAGGATCCCGCAGGACCCTGCAGGACCCTGCATCCAAACCCGTGTCGATGCGATCCTGGCCCTGCAGAATCCTGCAAGATCGGGCGCTCTGGCTGACCCCCGTTTGCATTTCGGGCGTTGGCAGAACTGGGTTCAGTGGAATCTGGATTAGTGATCTGTACTGGGGGAGGCGCCCCCGCCCCGTTTCCACTGACCAGAACTGCCGTCACCCGAAAAACACCAGCTACGGCAGACCTGGCTTAGCGATTCTGGCCAATTCGGGGGCCCCGGGGCCCTACCACTAACCGGGTCCCCTTACCCGGGGTCCTGGCTATACCCATCGGTCGGAAGAAGTAGGTAGAACCATGAAGTAGGAAGGCACTGGAAGTAGATTGGGCCTCCGCCCGCCCCCTGATGAGGAGGGAAGAAGGAAGCCAGTCGATCCTTGAAGTAGGAGGGCGCCAGAAAGTAGATTGGAATCTGGGAATCCAAAAATACCTGCTTTCAACGACCGATGGGTACCCGATCCAGGCTGCCGCAGGGCAGGAGGCGCCTCGCGTGCCGGCGCGCCCTCGAAGCGCTGGGGGCAGCGGAGGTCGCTGGGCGGGAAGGTGGGCGCCACGGGGCCGCGGCCCTGCCCGGCGAAGAAGGCGTGGCGGGCCTCTGCGGCGGCGCCGGCGGAGGAGGAGGAGGAGGAGGAGGAGCAGCAGTAGGAGGAGCAGGAGGAGGAGCAGGAGGAGGAGGAGGAGGAGCAGGAGGAGCAGCAGTAGGAGCAGCAGGAGGAGGAGGAGGAGGAAAGAGGAGGAGGAGAGAGAAAGAGAGAGGAGGAGGAGGAGGAGGAGGAGGAGGAGGCGGAGGAGGAGGAAGAAGAGGAAGAAGAGGAGGAGGAGGAGGAGGAGAAGCAGCAGCAGCAGGAGGAAGAAGAGGAGGTGGAGGAGAAGGAGGAGGAGGAGGAGGAGGAGGAGGACCAGGAGCAGGGCGAGGAGCTCAGGCGGGAAGCATCATGAAGGGTGTCCCAGAAATGGCCCCTTCGGAGGGGGGCGGAGAGCGAGGGTGAATCGGGCGTTCATTACCCAGACCCCCTCGAGTCATGAAAAACACTCAAGACCTAAGGTTTTTGGCCAGTTTCGGCCTCCGGGGGCCCTTACGGGGCCTCGGGACCGTCCAGAAACAACTCAGATTGAAGAGTCGGTCCCGGGGAATGGGTCGAGACCCCTGGGGATCGACGTTCTGGAAAATCATGACGTCGGGGGTCTGGGTAGGGGGAGGGGGGGGGGAGGGAGAAACGTGCACCTCTCGTGCCCCTTTGGGGCCCCAGAGGGCCCCTTTGGGGCCCTCTGGGGCACAAGAGGTGCACCTTTCCTCACCCCCTCCACGCATCGCACCCCCATCGGGAGAGGACTGGCACGCCCGAAGTGGGTACGGAGAACACGGGCACGATGCCCGACAGCCAGTGTTGTCCAAAATCGACAGCGACCGCTGTTGGAAATGCGCCTTCGCATGTCTGCAACGAACAACGTCCGCGGCGACACCGACAGCGAATGCTGTTCCAAATGGGCAGGAACTGCTGCCAGTCTTCGTGCCCATCCTGTCTGTGCCCATTTGAATCCTACCGAGGGGAGAGGGGCGGAAAGAGAGGGGGTCGAAGAGGGCCCTGAGCCCCGGGGGGGGGGGCAGCAGCGGCGTTCGGCATTCCAGGTGCCCACCATGATGCTAGACATCCCTCCTCGAAATCAGTTGCAAGTGTTCCCCTCGACGCGGCGTCGCCCCCGGACCCATACATCTCAACGTCCGCGCCGAAGCTGGCGACTGCAGACACGCAGAAATCTGACTCCGTGGGCGGGCCGCGCTTCGCGCGTCGACCAAGACTTGCGTTGGCTTTCGAGGGCCTCCGAGCGAGGTGGAAGGAGGGAATGGGTATCGCCGAGGGGAGGCCGAAGGGAGGGAGTCAGGGGGGCCCCGTGCTGGGAGTGGACGGGGGTGGAGGCGGGAGCCCCCAGTGACTCTCGGGCCATCACCCGGGCCGCCGTCGGCCGTTCGGGACGATCCGGGCACCTCCGGAGGGCCCTCGGCGGGGCGCGGCTGCCGGAACGCATCCCCCGAGGCTGGAGAACCGCCGAGAGCCTAGGCAAACGCCAGAACAACAAAAAGCTTGAACCTCGGTGGAGGGGGAGCGAAGAAGAGGGATGCGGAGGCCGGGGAGGGGAGGGACGGCTCCGCCTGGCGCGCGGCTCGCAGGTCCGGGGAGAAGAGGATGTCGCCGTTCGCGACGGCGCTGAGCTTCCACTCGCGGGCGAAGAAGCTGGAGAGTGCCCCCTTCTTCATCGGGGGGGCTGGCAGATCCTCCCGCCACTGCCCCCCAAACCCCACCCATCCCCGTCCCCCCTTCCCTTCCTAGCAAGCATCGGGTTGCACATAGACAGGCCCCCCAGGTAGTCCAGGCTGGCCTCAACATGCCCCCCAGGTAGCCCAGTGCGGTCTCAACACCCTTGCACCGCCTCCGGCGACGCCCCTGGGGCGCTCCGCGCCCCAGGGTAGGGGTGTATGGACCGCCCCAGACTACTCGAGGAGCCTGTTGAGGCCAGCTGGCACTTCTCGGGGGGGGCCTGTTGAGGCCAGCTGAGACTACGTGGGGGGCCTGTCTGTGCGCATCTCTGAGCCTTACCAATCTCTCCTCGTCCTCCCACCCTTCTAGTTCCTGCCCCCCTCCCCCGCATCCCCGCTACCCCCCCCCCCGAGCCTGTAGAGGGAAAGCGGAGGGGCAGAGAGGGGGAGCACGTCACGTCATGGGTTTTCCAGACAGCCTCCATCCTACCGGTGTGCTGCACATGCTTCGCCAAGAATTTACGATTCCGACGAAGCTGCGGTGGTGCTAGCGAGCTTGGCGAACAAGGGTGGTGCGCAACGGCGCGCAAGTGAAAGTTTCGCTGGGGGGATACTCCCTTTGGAGAGGGGTCGACGATCGATGCTGATAGCAGGGATATGTCAGAAACCATCGCCCCACAGAGGTACCCTGGTACCCCTCAGGCAGGGAGAGCCCTGACGGCCCAGAGCAAGACCGCCCGAAGACGCCCAAAGACTGCCCAGGATCTGCACGATATAGCAGCACAGCCCCCCAAAGAAGGTCCCCAGGTCCCCACCTCGCCCACGCTGGCGAGAAAGACCCTCCAGGAGGTCCCCGGGGTGAGGAAGCATGAGGAGGAGGCGGAGGGAGCGGGAGGGGTGACGGGGGAGAAGGGATGGTGATGACGATGATGATGTCGATGGGGATGATGGTGACGATGCTGATGCTGATGATGATGATGCTGATGATGTTGCTGATGATGATGCTCATGCTGATGCTGATGATGATGATGGTGATGGTGATGGTGATGATGCTGATGGTGACGATGGTAATGGCGATGATGGTGTTGATGACAGTGTTGATGATGCTGATGATGAGGATGATGAATACAATGATGATGATGATGATGATGATGATGCTGATGGTGGTGATGATGATGCTGATGATGACGATGCTTGCGGTGGTGATGAGGATGGTGATGATGACGATGCTGATGAGATGATGATGATGATGATGACGATGGTAACGGTGATGATGATAGTGATAGATGATGGTGAAGATGATGACGACGACGATGATGAGGAGGCGGAGGGAGCGGGAGGGGGGAGGAGGGAGAAAGGATTATGATGATGATTGTGATGATGAGGATGATGATGGTGATGGAAATGGTGATGATGATGATGGTGATGATGATGATCATGGTGTTGTTCATGATGGTGATGATGCTAATGATGGTGATGGTGATGGTGACGAGGCTGATGATGATGGTAATGCTGTCCATGCTGATGCTGATGCTGATGAGGATTGTGATCATGATGCTGCTGATGATGGTGGTGGATATAATGATGGTGATGATGACGATGACTATGACGATGATGATGATGATGATGATGATCATGGTGATGCTGATGATGATGACGACGATGATAAGAATGATGCGGAGGGAGCAGGAGAAGGGGTGATGATGGTGATGATGATGGTGATGATGGTAATGATGCTGACGATGATGCTGTTGGTAATGATGATAATGGAGAAGATGATGAAGTTGATGATGATGATAGTGATGCTGATGATGCTGATGATGATGATGATGATGGCAAAGATGATAATGACGATGATGGTGCTGACGATGATGGTGGTGATGATGATGACGATGATGACGATGATAATGATGATGATGACGATGATGATGATGATGCTGATGATGGTGATGATGATGACGACGACGCTGATGATGATGATGACGATGATGATGATGATGATGATGATGATGATGCTGATAATGCTGCTGATGCTGACCATGATCGTGAGGATGACGACGATGATGGTGATGAAGACGATGGTGATGACAATGATGATGATTATGATGATGATGATGATGATGATGATGATGATGATGATGATGATGATGATGACGATGATGATGATGAGGAGGAGGAGGAGGAGGAGGATAAGGAGGAAGAGGAGGAGGAGGAGGAGGAGGAGGAGGAGAAGAAAGAGGAGAAGCACACGTAACTATTCTTAAAGGGATGGGGAGGAGATGGGGGAGGAGGAGGAGGAGGAGGAGGAGGAGAACGAGGAGAAGGAGGAGAAGGAGGAGGAGAAACCGAGCGGAGGAGGAGGAGGAGGAGGAGGAGGAGGAGGAGGATGGAAGAGGAGGAGGACAAGCGTGAGGGATGCAAAGGAGGCGGGACGAGGGAGGGAGGACGAAGAAGGGCCCTCAAAAACGACACGCACGGGCATGAGACGATCGGCGCGCTGCCCCGTCGCCGTGCCCCCCCAAGAGGCCTCGGGCTGGCCTCCGGGGCTCGCACCCCGAACGGCCTGCGGGCCCGGCCCGGGTCGACGCAGCGGCGGCCCCATCCGGAGGCCCCCTCGACGTGCCCAGAGGGACGGCTCGGAGGTGGCCCCGAGACGGGCTCGGGGCGGCCCCGGGGCAGCCCGGGCACGGCAGGCGGGCCCTCGGGGCAGCCCCCAGGGCAGCCCCAGCGCGGCCCGAGGCGGCCCTCAGGGCAGCCTCGGGCGGGCCCGGGGGGCAGCCCCCAGGACGCACGCAGGAGCCCCCGGGAGGGCCCACAGGCCCTCGGGTCCCCCCCCCCCAAGATTCTGGTGGAGGGATTTGCCTCCGCACCCCGTTCCGCCCTTGCTGAACTCGACTTCTCGTCGGCGTCGGTCGATGCGATGCCTGCTGAGTGTTGGGATATGAAGACGACTCTGGCGCCGCCCCTGATCCAGCATGGGTGCTCGGCGCAGGTACGGGGCTGTATACAACAGGGGTCCGACCACAAGAAACCTTCCACAAGAAACCCAACCCTGAGACTCCAGGACGTCCATTGATTTTTGTTATGGGAACGTCACGCTTTCCATCGCAAGACCATCGAAACCCAAGAAACCCAGGGCACCCTGGAGGCAAGCAGGGTGTTGCTTGGACGACAAGCACACGAGAGAGAGAGAGAGAGGAGCCGCGGCGGAAGGCTCAGCAGGCCGAGGAGGAGAAGCTGCACCAGCTAGAGGAGATGAGGCGGATCGACGACGACGATGAGCAGGAAAGCGAAGAGCTCTCCTCCTGAAGCGCTCGATCAGGCCCTCCCCGCGCAGGCAGAGCAGCACCGCCGGACCACCTGCCTCTGCCGCGGCCTCGGCCAGCGCTCGACGGGGAGCCGGGGTAAGATCTGGCGGCCCTCGGCGCCTGCAGTGCAGACCGCTCCTCGTGCACCTCCTCCCCGTCCTCGACCTGCCCCTTCCCCTCGGCCCCCCTGCCGCTCATCCTTCTTCTCTCCCCGTCCCTCTCCTCCATCCTCGCCTCCCCTCCTTCCCCTCCTCGACCTGCACCTTCCCCTCGGCCCCACGGGTGTCCAACATGTGATGGTCTATGTGTAAACGCGTCCGGTGCCCACTTCAAGACGAGGTAATCGGCGTGGGGCCATCGCGCACGAAAGCCTGCATCACTCCTTCCCCCCACCACACCAACAGTAATGGGCCGATTTTCCATTTTCCACAACCACTACCATATGTAGGAGAGGGATGAAAGTAGGAGGAGGAGCAGGAGGAGGTGGAGGAGGAGGAGGAAGAGGACCTCCCCATCCTCCCTTCCCCTCCGACCTACATTTCGAGAATTGGCCCATCAAGCGGAGAGTAACAGGACTCGCCCAACCCAACCTCCAAAAGAGATCACGACAATGGTTGTGCAGTTGACAACCCCACGGGGAGGCGGTTTCTAGGTTCGGTCGGCCCCCTGAAGCCCGCACGCTTCTGGACATCCCAGACTTCCACGACAGTCGCGAGAGGCGATTTAGGAGACAGGGGGTAAAAGGTAGGTCAGAGGTAGGAGGCAGGCAAAGAGGAGGAGGAGGCGGAGGGAGGCGAAAAGCAACGAGAAGGTAGCAGTGCTCGGTTCAAAAGGAAGCCCCAACGCAGGAGGGTTGGGACACACTTACGAGGAGTGTTCTGGATGTGAAGAGCGCTGGACACGCCAGGCACCCCCTGAAAATACCCTGGACATCCCCGGAGAAAAAACACTTGGATCACCATGCCTGGCCAACCCGTCCGATCATATTTCCCAGCACGCCGTAATATTGGGGAATGACGGGGCTTCGTGGGATAGGTGTTAGGGGGTAGGGATTATGGGTGAGAAGGGTGCACTTGGGGGGATCTGGGTAAGAGGGTCAGGGGGAATGAGGAGGATCAGGGGAGTTGCGGGAATCAGGGGAATGAGTGTTTGGGGTGCAGAGGGGGTACTGGGCTGCGGAGGTGAAGGGCGTTATGGTGTGGTAGCGTGTTGGGTGGCGCAGGGACAAGGATGGAGATGCTCTCTGCGCGGCCCTGGGCGGGGAACCATCGATCGAGGCCGCACTGACGCCGCGGCCCACCAGCAGTCCGAGGCGGCGTCGCCTGCTCTTCTCACCACCTGCGACGGGTCAATCCAGGAAACTCAAAAAGCCCTCCATACACGTCCTCCTTCGTACCATCCGTCTCCTCTTTTCTGCTGCTGCTGCTGCTGCTGCTGCTGCTGCTGCTGGTGATCCTCATGTTTCGATACGGGGTCCCCAGAAGTCATGGTCCCTTCTTTGGGGCCCGCTTTGCATCCTGAGTTGTTTTGCTCAGATTCCTGAAGCGCCAAAACTGCCCCCAGAGAGGCCGGCAAGGCATTATGTTCATCACGACGTTTGAAGTCGGGGCGCTCGGGCGCTCCCCTTCAAGCTCGACCCCCCAACACCTCATGGGGTGCGCCCTGACCAAAGTCCAGAAAGGGAAATCCAGTCGGCGAGAAGACCCCCGAAGGCTGATGGCTGCCAGCGTGGACCCAAAACAGGGGATGATTGCACTGACGTTGTGAACGCTATGAGGTGAACTCTATGGGGTGCAGGCCACGTGGTGCAATCTGTGGTTTTCGTGCTACGTGGTGCAACCTGCGGGGTGACATCCGCCGAGCCCCGTGCACCTGGGATGAAAAGACGTGTGAGACATTTGGCTGTCCTCCCCCCTTCCTCCTCCTCCCCTGGGTCCAAAATGCCGTCTGAAGGAAAGGGGTGGGCGACGAACTCGTCAACGCGCCCCATGGGGTCTCTGGAGCCTCCAAATAGCCCCAAGACGGCCCCAGAGAGCCAAGACAGCGCAGTTACAGTCCAAGAGAGCGTCGAGACGGCGCAGGATAGCCCCACGTCGGTCCCAGAGGGCCCAGGAGGACCGCCGAGAAGGCCCCATGAAGCAACAATCGTCACCTTCCTTCGGGAAACGTGCGTTTCGGACATACTCACCTTTTTCGTTGTCACAGCGTCCACGACGGCTCAAGGAGCCCGCAAGATCGCCCCCAAGACAGCCCATGAGGCCCCCAAAGAAGGCCCTAAGACAGCCCAAGAGAGCCCGCAGACAACCACCGGGGCCCCTAGAACGGCTCAAGAGGGCCCCAAGAGGCGCCCAAGAGGGACCATACGAGTCGATATGTCGAACCTTTCCCGCCAAGAAGGCCCCGGAAGCGCCCCAGAGGCCTCCGAGCCGAACCAAAGAGGCCTCCAAGAGGCCTCCAAGAGGCCTGCATGAGGCACCAAAGAGGCCACAACAAGCCCTCTGAAACGCCCCCGACAGGCATCCGGTGAGACCGTCTCATGCATCCGACAAGATACCTTCCAGGATGGTGGCAGGCTCTCACTCCTTCTGGGGATCGGTGGAATGGCGCAAGCCACTTGAATCCACGTCCGGAAATGACGTGTTGCCGAAGGCAGGTCAAAGAGCAGAGCGGATGGCCTAACGCACCGCATCCCGTAGATCCAATGAATGCATACTTCGCGCATACAAGATTACGTTACAGTATTATGCATCCCCCACTACCCTCCTCTGGAGTCGCGCCAAATCGGCGGACCAAAATGGGAGCTCTCCATTCTGGGGCCCAAAAGCGCACCAAAACGTATGAGAAATAGATATGATATCGGCCTCTGGAGCCTCTTGGGGGTCCAAGAAAACCTCCAAACGGGCTCATATAGACTCCAGACGACCCAAGACGGCCCCAAGAGGACCCAAGATGGCCCGAAGAAGGCACGAGAGGCCCCCAAGACGGCCCAAGACGGCCCCAGAGGGCCCCAAGGGGGCCCCCGAGAGCCCCTATTGATTTCCCAACGGGTTATGGAAGATTTCCGCGTTCTCGCCTCAATCGTGGTGTGGTGAGGTAGAGTTCGCAGGTGACCTCCTCGATGCGTGCGAAAAACACCGCGGCTGCCACGAGCATATATACGACACCTACGGAAATCATCAGGACGGAGGTCCACACGGATTTCTTCCATCCGCGGGGAGCCCGCGCGGGCGGAGCGCGCCAGAGGAGGCGCCGCCTGGGTGGCCCGGCACCGACCCCGAGAATCCCGCGGACCTCCGCATGTCTGCGTGTTGCGCAGGTGTTGTTTTCTGATTCGGGCAGCCCCGCAGGAGAGGGATGGTTGGCTCCTGCTCCTAATCCTCCTCCTACGCGTTCTTTTCTTCATTGGCCAAGTCGCGCACACGAGGTCACACCCCCGCCCCCCTGTGACCCAAAAGGCTGCGGAGAAGACAAGGGAGCAGAGGGGGAAGTGAGACGGATGCATGCAAGTGCGGAGGGAAGGGGCAGAGAGACTGACTACGCTTCACATTTGTGAATCCGCGCTTGCCGAAGTTTCTGGATCCCGCACACGGCGTCCCGCAGGAGTGGCAGACGATCGCCGAACGCTAGGAGTCTCTCTTGCACTGTCCCTGCTTTCCCTGTCGTGGACGTGCGCCTGCAGCCGGCGCCGCTTCGTCAGCCGATATTGGGGAAACCAGAAGGTACTCCAGATTTCGTAATAAAGGGAGGGGGGTCTCATTTCGGGGGGGGTCTTTTCCAAGCTATCTTGGAGGGCCTGGGGGGGTCCGGGGACGATGTTTTGGAGGGTTCTCCCACGGGGGGGGGGTCTGAAATGGCTTGTCTTGGAGGGTCCAGACCCCTCCCTTTTTTACTACTCCTCATCCATATCCTGGGGTGCGTTCTGACAAAAAATAATATGCGAATCCAGCGGTGGCGACGGAGGGCCTCCCACGAGGCCCAGAAAGGCGAAGACAGGGTCGGGGTAGCGGTATCGGTACCTCTTCCTGCTCCGAGGTGTGTCGTGCAGGCACGGCGTGCTTGATGGACACCCCGAGGAGAGGAGGGAGGCAGAGACGGCACCACCAGCGCTTCTTCCCCGAGAGTCTTAAGGGCGAGACCAGGCGAGGCGATCACCCTCGGGTGACGGCCGATGCAGTTCCACATCCTCATGGTAGTGTGCGTCACACAGCCGACCCTCTTTCCCACACACTTGCCTGACCATGGCTACTTGGACCCCCCATTACTTGGTTGATTGATTGATTGATTGATTGAACCATTAGATCGACTGATTGAATCAATTGGTTGGTTGATTGGCTGAACCATTGGCACTCCTTGGTTCAATCCCTGGATTGACTTCATTGGTCGACTGACTCCTCGAGCCCTTGGACCCCCGCGCCGAAGCCGCGCCACGCCTGCGCGAAGGAGCGGAAGCCCCGCAGCGCCGCCAGCCCGGCGTCCAGCGCCCGCTGCGCGCCCGGGCCCGCGCCCGCCGCGGCGTCCGCCAGGGACCTCCGCCGACGGGGGGGGGGCCAACGGCGCGCCGCGGGGGCGGCCTCCGGATCGGCGGCGAGCCCGCGGCGGGAGGCGAGGGGGCAGGCCCGCTCGGCGGGCGGCGGGGCCCTGCGCCTTCAAGGAGGGCAGGCGAGGGCCCCATGGGCCCGGGCCGAGGACGCGCTGCGGCCGCTCAGACGGCCGGAGGGCTGCTGCGAGGCCCCGCCGCCCGAGGAGGCCTGTCCCGTCTCTCGCTCCCCCCCCGGGCGCGCCGCCGGTTGGAAGCCTCGTGTCGGTGGGACGATCACCTGCAGAGGTACGCGCTCGCGCGGGTTGAAGAGCCGTGATGCGGCGCCGTCCGAAACATGAGATGGCGCGCCTGGGCTGAGGCTCAGGCGCAAGGCTTCTGAGTCCAACTCCGCCTGAAGGTTCCTTACCGCCCACACGAACTGATATCTGCCTGACCACGTCCGCTTGCGGACCGATTCGACTCAACTGGGCCTTGCTTGCTTCCACACATCGAAAAACGACTTGCACAAACATGTGAGCATTCGGAGATCCGCGAGAGTTTCCCGGATCGGCGCTGGAGACAGCGCCAGAAGTGGCGCTGGAGGCGCCGCAAGGGGGGGTCCAGCGCCGATCCAAGAAATCCTCGCGGCCCTCTGAAAGTGTATGTTTACGCCACTGCTTCCTCTTCGACTCCAGCCCTCGAGGGTTGAGGATCGGGGCAGGCTCGCTCCGAGGATCGAGGATGGGAGGTCGTGGGCAACTCGGAGGCGGTCTCCAGGCCAGGAGGCCTTCGGCGTCGGGGGGAGACGTGAGGCTCGGGTTCGGGGGACTCTGGTTGGCCTGATGTGGGACGCAGAAGCTCAGTGGGCCCTGGAAACGACAGGGCCGTTTTCTTACCGGTTCCGTTCTGCCGTTTTTGTTGCCGGTTCTGATGCCGTTTTCTTACCGGTTCCGTCGCCGTCTTTTGACCGGTTCCGGCTCCGGTTCCAATCCTGGAGCCGTGTTTTTGCCGTTTCCAGTCGCTTTTTTTGCCGTTTCCATTTTCATGAGACATTTTTTTGGAAACGGTAAAAAAAAACGGCCCTGCCGTTTCCAGGGCCCACAAAGCGCAGAAGGACATTCCATTACTAAGCGTCCTTCTCGGAGGCCTGCGTCCGACCAGATCACATAGCACAAACACAGTGCAGTATATGGCTTGTCGAGCGGCATGGCAAGCAGAAAGCGCCCGCCACTGAGCGTATGCTATGAGGTTTCTCGGCGCGCGCGTCGCCCTTTTGGGTGCGACGCATCTGTGTAATAGCTAGATGAATGCATAAACATACATACATACATACATACATGCATGCATGCATACATGCATGCATGCATGCATGCATACATACATACATACATCCATCCATCCATCCATCCATCCATCCATCCATCCATCCATCCATCCATCCATACATACATACATACATACATACATACACACACACACACACATACATACATACATACATACATACATACATACATACATACATACATACATACATACACACATACACACACATACATACATACATACATACATACATACATACATACATACATGCATGCATGCATGCATGCATGCATGCATGCACGCACGCATGCATACATACATACATACGTACATACATACATACATACATACATGTATACCTACATACATATATCTATATATGATGTTGGTTTGGGTGGTGCTGAAGAAATGACGAGACCCGATCTGAAATTTGATGCGAGCTCTCGCTGCAAACATCCCACGAGCACTGGACCGTCACAACTCAGGGCGGGCCCGTGAAAAGGCGTCGGCAGACCCGAATTCCAGTGAACTCGAGTCTGACATTCCCACGACGGTACATCCCCCCTCGACACCAAACGCAAGTTCTGCCCGTGACGTGGCGGCGCCCCAGGAACTCAACATTTCCATATTCGCGCCGAAACTGGCGACTGCAAAAGCGCGTCGCCCACTATTAAAAACTTGCGATTGATTTCGAGGGGGGTTATGGCATCCAGAGGCCTCCAGAGACCTTCGGGCGAAGCATGCGCCGCCGCCGCGGCCGCGGAGGTCGGTGACAGTCGGCCAAGAGCAGAACTCGCAGGTCGATGAGGGGACACCCTCAGCCCCCTCTCGCGTCATGAGAGAACGCGATGCGAGATCTTGTATTGGAATGAAGACTTGGTGGTCAGCGTGGTGGTATAAAACCACTGCTGTCTGCTAGCTAGGTGAGAGACTACGCAAACAGGCCCAACCACCAGTTCGTAATGTGCATAGCGGTTGGCCACTCATGCAGGCGGTCCACGCGGGACCCCTGCCCCCAAAACCACCGCTTGGAAGTACGAAATGGTTGTTAGGAACGTTGGGCTCAGAGTTGAAGATTCAGTGATTAGGCATAAAAGGACCCCTAACCCGTTGAGAGGCGACCTAAGTTAGGAGGACCAGAAATATTAGGGATCGGGGTCTTCGCTACAGGTGTACCGATCCAAACCGCCCAAATCTATTATCACGAATGCAAGGGCGGGGACCTCAGTGAGGCCACGTCTTCACTATGTTATTAGGGTTAGAATTGGGCGAACAACGACATATGTACATGTACGCCCTCCGCGGTCTTGCCTGCACGAACGTCCGCGTTGACACGCACTCAAGGGGAAGCTAACCGCGTACGTGTACATATGTTGCTGGCCTCTGAAGAATTTCTTTGATCCTCGATGATTCAAAATGTTTTTGCACACTTGCTCAACCACCAACGCCCGAGGTACCATTTGGGCACGTCCATCCTGCAGCGTTGCTAACTTGCGGCAAGCACACACCCGTGTTGGCGGGCATGTTGTGTGCCCCCTCTCGGAAGCCCTCGGGGGAGCCCTCGGGAGCCCAACGGGGCTGATGTGACCCCGTGCTGGCCCCGTGACCCCACGGGGCTACGTGACCCCGTGTTGGCTGTGACCGCCGCCCCAACACGGAACCCGTGTCAAGCGAACGCAGTGGACGGCGGCAGTTCGGAAACCTGACCAGACAAGAACGGGAAGCGAATGTTCGAACGCGCGTTGCAGGTGGAGCATCACATGGGGACGTCAAAACTGGAACGCTTGAGCGAACAAGGCGACGGCTATTTAGGGGCGTCTTCAAAAGTGTTTGCGTCACAATGGTGCTCTGGATGCCTTTGTGGGTTCTTCAGAATCTTTTCGGGGTTGTCTGGCGGTTCCTGTGAGAGCTGCTATCGAAAGTCCTGGGGTCCTGGTTCGGTTCGTCTTGGAGCCGTTTTGGTTCCGCCTTGGGCGTTTTGGAGCGACCGTTCGGCGCTTGGGGGCGCTTTTAAGCTTGCTTGCCTTGGGCGTTTTGGAGCGACCGTTCGACGTTTCGGGGCGCTTTTAAGCTTGCTTGGGGGTCACGACGCGAAGGGCGGTTTGGGAGGACCAGGGCCCTCCGTGGCTGCCAACGACCACGAGAACGGCGAACATGACGATGAGGACAACGCGAAGAGCGCTGTGGCAAAAATTGTCGGGGAAATACCTAGAGGCCTCTTGTTGGCCTCTTGGCGCCTAAGCCTGGTGGGTCACTTGAGGCTTCTCGTGGCCGCCCTTGAATTCTCTGGGGCCGTCGTGGGGCTCTCTTGGGCCGTTGCAGGGCCGTCTTGGGACCCTCTTGTGGGTATTTTGAGCCTCTTGGGGGGCTTCTTGGAAGCCCCTTGGGACCTCTTGTCTTGGGGCCTCGTGCGGCCCATTGGGGACGGAAGGCTCGAATTTTCGGTTCGTTGTTCTCTTCTGGGGCTCCTTTCGGGGCCATCTTGGGGCTCTCTTGGGCCGTCTTGGGCCACTCTTCGGCCGTCTTGGGGCCCTGTTGGCTCGTGTCCCGCAAGGAAGGTGTTACTTCTATCGGGCGGGTGTGCAGATCTTGTTGGTGCGTCTTGGCGTACTTGGGGAGGGGGGGATCCTGGGGGGGGTCCCCGGGGGGGGTCCGAGGGGGGGTCCGGGGGGGGGTCCTGGGGGGGTCCCGGGTCAGAATACCACCTCCCTCCTCCTCCTCCTCCTGCTCCTCATCCTCCCTCCTGAGCGTCTTTTGCCACCTTCTCCATATCCGTTTCGTTTGTCCCCCCCTCCTCCTCCTCCTCCTCCTCCTCTTCATCATCCTCCTCCTCCTCCTCCTCCTCTTCTTCTTCTTCTTATTATCATTCTTCTTATTATTATTATTAGTAGTATTATTCTTCTTATGTGTCTTCTTATTATTATTAATAATATTATTATTATTCTTATTACTCTTCTTATTAATATTCGTCATCGTATTATTAATAATATTAATAATAATATCATTATTAGTATTATGACTATTACTAGTATTAATATTATTAGTATGATTACTAGTATTGTTATTATTATTAGTATTATTGTTAGTAGTACTATTATTATTACTACTAATATTATTATGTTTCTGCTTATGCTTCTGTTTCTGCTTATTATTATTATTATTCTTCTTCTTCTCCTCCTCCTCCTCCTCCTCCTCCTCCTCCTCCTCCTCACACACTTCCTCTGCCTACCCTGTCAGGTTGTCCTTTAGCTCCTTCCTGTGATCACACATCCCGTCGCCATTGACGGCCAAAACCTTCAGGGTCGGTGGCACCGGCCGTAAGGCCTTCACAATAATATTTCTGTTGATCTCAGGATACGGTTCTGCGCGCTCTCGCCTCGACGCCGGCTTCAATTCCTCTGAAAACGAGGCTCCCGCTCGAGCGCGGGCTTATGTAAATGTGTACCCTTGGAGGCCGAGCTACGATGACAACGACTCCCGCTCGATACTTCCTCACCATTTACCCCGAGACACCCTGGCCAGAGAGGCCTCCGAACCCAGGAACGGCGCTCTCGTTCGATACTTCCTCAAGATGTACTCCAAGAGGCCCTAGCCAGAGGCCCCCGAACTCAGGAACGGCGCTCTCGCTCGAGACTTTTGTACTTCAAGCAAGTTGGTGGAGGTCCAGCCACGATGCCAAGGT